AAAGAGAAACGGAAGGAGAATAAATCTTTGAATTTGTAAACTAGAAAATCAACCATTTAAATTTTTATTGCAGGTTATAAGCCTTAAGCCTGGAATAGTCAGTGTATGAGGTGTGCATGTTGAAACGAGTATCAGCACCACTATTTTTTTTCACACAGAGGATGTTTGTCAGTGTCAGTTAGTGAAAATGCCTACAATTGATAAAGTTGTTGACTGAGATACAACACTAGAAGAGATGTGACAATCTCGAGTATCCGCATAGATAGATCAATGAGAGAAGTTGTGACCAACAGAGTCTACTAAGTCGAGTAAGAGTACAGTTACTGGCATATGACACTGACTGACGTTTGCCCTGTGTATCCCGAAATGGCAGAAATAGGAATTCATGGACTGTTGGATTAGGTATTGGTGACTGAATGGCCTATGAGCTCGCCTTGTGATCAGCAGGTCCTCAGTCCGAACCCTAGTGCGTGTGTACCGTAGCTGCAATCTACGAATGTTTGGCATGCGATTCGTCCCCGCCAAATGCAAGATGATGTTACAGGATTGGACTACACCGACTCCTAGATTAGAAATAGGAAGTGAAGTGGTAGAGCACGTTGACCGCTTCACTTACTTGGGAAGTACCATCAGCCCCAACGGGTTGATCTCTGACGAAATCTCAGCACGGATACAGAGGGCTAGTTTCGCATATGCCAGTTTACGCCGTCTCTGGCGTATACGTGATATCCGACTATCGACCAAAGGGCGGGTGTACTGCTCAGCAGTCCGCTCCGTCCTCCTTTATGGCTGTGAGACCTGGCCATTGAGAGTGGAAGACATGAAAAGATTAGCTGTCTTTGATCATAGGTGTCTGCGTTCTATCTCCCGCGTGAAGTGGTATAATAAGGTGAGCAATATTGAGGTTAGGCGTCGAGTGCTAGGTAAGGAGGGGAAATCAATCGACGAGGCTGTGAAATTACATCGACTGAGATGGTTAAGACATGTGTTACGTATGCCTAGTCATCGCCTTCCTCGACAATGGGCAATGTTAGCTGATATAGGGTCAGGTTGGAAAAGAGCTAGCGGCGGTCAAACCAAAACATGGCACCAGTCAATGAAATCTACAACAGTTAGTTTAAGCCAGTCACGTAGGAAGGTGTAGACTTCCTGACTGGTTGGGGTCCTCGGGACGGTAAACACCAATGGTTGGAAACAATTGGTGACATGGCTCAAAATCGTTGTCAATGGCTGGCGCAGATGCATCCACTCCTTGTGACTTATGATTTCCAATGAAACTGTTTTGTTCTTCGTTATTACTATTCCTTTGTCTCACATCTCTGTTTACTGTCTCTAATATGCATTTCTCCTACTTTCTTCTCTTGCTTTGTGTGCTACATGGAGTGTGGCGACTTGAACTGCCGCACATATGTGCAAAGTTCTATGTCGAAAACAGACAGACAAACATGTACCGCTGAAGAGTTCAAAACGAGGACGAAACAGTTGTTCACAACTCTTTGGTTTTCCTGTGGTTCTCAAACTGATATCGCCTAATGATCAAACTTATAAGCAATGATATCCTTGCAAACCAACGCTTCAAAAAAATAATCATTTGCATTTTTGATCATATTTCTCACAGATATAACTACTAATTATATTTCTCATTAGTAATTGAGTTTTCCCATTGTCTTTCATATATACAAATCAGTGTTTAATATTCAATGTAATTAAGCTTTCATTTCTAAAAATACTAGTTGTTAGAAATAATAATTCACAGAAATTTACGATTTTTTATCAACTGGATTAAATATAGAATGATTTAGAAAGCCAGGTAAATCGACTTATAGAATCAGCTCAGTTGTTTACTGAACAAGGCTGAATGACCTATGAGAGAAATTAGATCCTGGATAAAAAAGGGATGCCATGAAAGGAATATTCCACAACTCTGTGCATTGCTTAGACTGTTTGAAGCAGTCCTGTCTGTAGGAGAAGCAAAAACTTTGCAGTGAACATCAGTCATGTGAGGATTCAAAGTACAGGTTTTTGTAAGATGAGTGCTCAGATCCCTCGGAATGAGTAATGAGACCTAATCAAAAATAGGCTTCAGTTGTATTCAGTTTACTGAATTACTTATTTACTCAGTTATTACCGGTATTGTGATTATAAATTAAAGTGAAGTTACTGTTGTATAGTGAAAATCATCACTTCATCAGATTAAAATAATAGGGGGTGGGGTGGGGTAATTTATAGCTCAGATAGAAGTGCACTTAAGTGTTTGATGGTGTTTATTTAAAGTCTGGTCGCGACTTGACTTCATTTAGAAAACCAGTGAAAACCAGGAAGTAATGGGCAGCTGTTTCGTCCTAGTTTGGGATTCTTCAGCAGTACTCATTCATAACCCCACCAAGCATCGAGCCCAAGACCTTCAGGTCACAAGGTGAGCTCGTTAACCATTCATCCTATGGGATGGAATCCAATGTTTTCACAAAACAGTAGAGGAAGGTTTACGAATTCGTAAAAAAGGAAAAATCCAGGTGTCAGAAAATGAACAGTTGAGTTCCGGTCTTCAGAGAGGAAAAGACTGTGTTACTTGTATATCATTATTAAGAATTTTTGGCTGTGTATTCAATAACCTATAACTCTTACTTCTTAGTATTCCTACAGTCAAGCTAACCAGCCTACATCTATATACGGGGTTTGAACCAAAGTTAGCGACTTTATAAAGTGGTACGATACTTTGATCTTCTGAGCTTTGATTTATGCCAATTTAATCGTACTTCAGTCGTCACTTTGTGTCGTTAGCTCAACAAGTATGTCATGTATCTAGAGACCTTAGTGTCTGATATATCACACACTTAACTGCTGACACACCATTCTACAATAATACACGTCTAATCTATGCATTCCTTACTCATTGTACATTTATCTCCCTTCATGAACTTGAATAAACCTAAAATAACGGTTTGTGTAGAATAAAACGATGTCATTACTCATTTTATCCATCTCTCTTCAGCTACATACAACCTAAACATTTTTAGTGAGTATCTGTGCAAAGAAATTTATTAACCTGATATGATGCCAGTCAACGGAAGACTCTAAAAATAACGAGTAGTGTTTAGAAGTTACACCCATATAACTCATCCGCAAAAGGTGCGAGTTTGAACGGTAGCAGTTACATTGGAAGAGAAGAAAGAAGGGCACATCTTAGATACTCTGAACATGTACCAAAAAGCCTACATCTCAAGGGAACAAATGGATTCAGCAGTGCTATTGCCAGGTATCACGTTAAAACGAGTCATGAGCTGAACATCCTAAAATCCTTTGAGATTATCAATAGACAGAGAGGTTCAGTTCTCCTCAAGTTTTCTGGAGAAATTTTCACTAAACTTTTGAAACTCGATTTATGCATACAGAAAGAAGAAGTTATCAGTCTTTTCTTGCCCTGGTAACTGGATTTTTTTCAAAATTACATAATCTTTTCCCTTAATGCTCTCTCCTTTTTACCATACTTTAAGTTTGTTCTTTTTGTTATAATGTTTGGAGCTGAACTTACCACATTATTACACAACTTATTAGTTGCTTATCATCGACTTATCCACCCACGTCTTCATTATACAACTCCTTTTCCAATGCATCCAAACATTTTTTTGTTTAAACTCTAACCTTTTATGTTCAGGGTATATAACCGGAACTTCTAAGCATTTTTAATTATTTCTGGAGTCCCTTATTAACTGACGTCATATCATCTTTGCAAGTACGTTAAAAAATTTCTCTGTACTTCTACTTACTGAATATTTTTAGGTTGTAAGCAGATGAATATAGGCCGATGGAATAGGTGATGACATCATATTATTCTACACAAACCGCTGGTTTCAATTCTCATCAACTGTAACGAGAATATACTTACGATATAAGCTTCCAGGGAACATGACTTATCCGAGAAACTTAACAAAAGAAAGTTACTGAGAATTGTCTTTACCCTTTGCTGTCTCACTAAACAAATTGACGAATATAAAACAGCACGGTATGTTAGTGTATGTTACTCGCGATTGACATGTGGTTGGAGAGTACTAAAATCGACCAGTAGTGCTCAATAGTCCCTTACCTTGAACTTTGTAACTTACAGGTGATGAATTTTGTTCTTTTATCAGTTTTGTTAGTTGGAAGAGGTTTGACTGTCTGATCTCAGTTTAACAAGGCATACCGTTTATGAACTCAGTAATGAGCAAGGCAAACGGGTACCTGGGGACTAACAAGCACTGTTAGTTGAAGTGAGTGGTCTCAAACTGAAAACATATCAATCAAGAGTATACGTCCTTATGCAATTTCACTTATTTTCTCGATTGCTATTCATGGTAACAAACAGATCACATAAATACTCTCAATATTATGGGTTTTCAAAGAGGAACATTGATAAATTTTGACCTCGAATTGTATCTTTTTCCGAATGATTTATTTCAACGTTCATCTGCTATTATGATAATTATTTATGATGCATTCAAAGATTCCATTGTTCACGCTTAAGTTGTGCATTTGTACTGATCAGGTCTATGGCATTATCTTACATGTGCGAAAGTGAGATACATATCTCAGACTATACAGATTTCCACACAGATATTTCGAAAAAGATACTGGGCACTGTCAGGATATCCTGTATACCGATAAACAGTTATCTTTCCATGCAAAATGAATGCAAAAGCAAATGTTACTAGTGTCCAACCAAAGTTTCCAATACATTCCTACAAGAGATCAATAGCGAGCCTAAATAGCTCAGTGGTAACGTCTCTGACTGCAGTACTCACTGGGTGACGTGGTTTCGACTATCAGAAGGGACATGAGTTCCTTCAAGGTTGCAGATACGCCTTGCTGACTGGTAAGTGCCAACTAGCACGAAACCTAGGTAGAGCAAAGCTTCCTACCGATTGTCCTCCAACCGTCTAATATCATCAAAAGTAACTTTTAATATGAATTTAATCAAAACTATAACCTCGCATCCGATAAACTTTGAAATTGAAACTTACCTAAAGGGTATCTTCATGTATTCAGATGGTAATTTTTATATCATCCGTTAACTTTATGTATATAAAGTTGAAATTCTTGAATCATTCATCATAAATGTGCATATGCCATCGAAATTATGAAATTTATAAAGAAACATTATCAAGCAGAATGATCTATTCAATCATTAAATTGAAGCCTTTAACCAGCTTAGATAATAAACTGTGCTTCATACACAATATAGTCTAGTAATATATAAGTCGATTTGTGTGGATTCAGTTTTTTAGCTGACTGATTCACGTGGTCGATATTTTTTCTCTCTCTCTTTTTTTTTTAATAAATGCTAATGTGACAATCAATTTGTTTTCATCACAGATTTGTAATTTCTGCTTCTTCTTCTTTTGCTTCTTCTATCACTACTGTCATTTTATAAATGACAGTTTAGTAAACAGCTGAAGGTCATTGTAATTAGGTGCCTTTTTTCTTTTTCACTGGTACACACTAAATTTTTCCTTAAAAAAAAAAGAAGAAGGCTTATCAAGTTAATGAATGGTTGTCAATTAGGAATAAGGAATGCGATATATATTCTTATGTATATATTTGTTGTTGTCTACACCTATCAGTCTTTGAGTGATATATATAAACCATTCGAGAAAATTTTTTTCTGAAAAACAGTTGAGAAAAAAAGAATTTTACAAGGTTAGATAATGAAAACTAAAAAAAACACAACACAACACACAATTGTATTAACGTCAGATGTCTGCAGTTGTGAAGGAAAAATTTATTGATGTTGCTGTTGAGAAGTTATATTTGAATGAGTCGTGCATTGTTTGAAGGCATTGTTTCATACTGTGTTTAAATCAGTTTTGTTTTTCCCCGTTTACCGAAGTTTTCTGCCTCTGTCAAGATATCGACTACTAGTACTGACGCCTCGACGATATTTGAGGATTAACAGGATACTGTTTTGTAGATAGTGAATAGCAGTGAAACCCAAGATGCTCATTTCGTACTTTTTGGTACTCATCAACTGGATGTACCTACAATCTTATTTACTTAAACAAATACCTATTGCAAAAGAGATCGCTGTCTGGCCCATTTGGTCTGGTGGATAACACTTTGGCGTTTGGAACGATGGTTGGTGTGTTCGAGTTTCAGTGGGAACACAATCACTCACTGGGGTTTCCAAGTACATCTAGGTGATGAGTCCTAAACACGACGAAATGAGCATCCTGTTGGATCCCACTGTTGGTCACTGTCTACAAAATAACATGCTTTTTATAAAATCACTTCTGTAATGAAATTTGTTTGATTATAGAAATGATGCGGGAAGATATGTGGTTTGTGTGGATGATTCATGTGGAGAGAGATGTATAGGTTTTTTATTGCGTGTTTTATCCAAAAGAGTCAAAGAACATTATCCCGCTTGGCTACGAAAAGGTAACAGTGGATCAATAAAGAGTGCTATAATTGAACATATATTCAACACTGGTCACTCAATATGCAAGGAGAATTCATTCAAAGTCATCTACAAAGTCAAAAGAAGCCTCCTGAAAACGGTAAGCTTCCGTATACTTTGCATTGCCGAGGAGGCCTTAGCGATCCGGATAGAAAACCCTGATTTATGCACACAGAAGAAGCTTCTCTATCCCCTTCTTCTACCTTGGGTATAATTCCAAGTTCTACGACTTTGTTATTAATAATGTTTTGTTTTCTTTTTTGTATTTTGAAATTTTGTATGGCATCTTAGTAACATCTTCTTCTTAACCAACCCTTTATTTACTCTTTCTACCTATTACATAATTCATTTTTCGGAGTCATGTCTCCATTAACATCCTATTTCATATTACGCAACCCTTGTCAATACTAATCAATCTTCACCCCCCCCCCATAGTTACAATTTTGATTATTCATCACATTTTAGATTCGAATGTTGTTGAGTTTACTGAGCTGCATAGTTCAACTGCGATGCTCTCATTATCTGTCTAGACAACATCTTCAGTGTTAACTTCCAGATGAAGTGATCTCTTTGCTTCACCTTGAGGTTAGAGCTGTAAGTGTTCTTTAGACAGACAATGAAACCTTCACGATTAAGCCACGCGGATGGAAAAAAGTAACTAAACCAAAAATCAAGTGATTGTTGTGTACTTGAAATGTTTTATTTTTCTTATGACAATAAGAATTACTGTGATAATAAAGAGGCTGGATTATTTTTCTATTTCGGATATTAAGTGGTTATGTCGACAGGCATATGAGAAATTTATTTGGTTTTAAGTTATGTCTTATAAGAGAAAAATATTTCAACTAATTTAATTGATATTCAAGTATTGGTTTGTAGGGATTTGATTGATTGGTTACAGGATTTCATCATGAGCTGATATCGGTTAGAGAACCATTGGAAAACCAACTGGGAGTACTGCCAAAAAGCTGTTTCGTCAGCCTAGTTTGAGACTCTTCAGAAGTGCTCATCCACCACCAGGGTTCGAACCCATGATATTCTGGTTACAAGCAAGCAAACTCGTAGATCATCAAGCCACTGGAACCCAGTCCATGAATTCCAACTTCTGCCAATTCACCATATAACGCGACCACTAGCCAATGTCTTCAGCGAGTATTTGTCCTCACGACCAACCTGCAGTACTCTACTGGTATAGTGAGAGGTCGTGAAATCCCTACAAACCAATACTTGGATATCAATGAGATGCTCACTAGTGACTGGCCCTATTCAGGTAGGTAGTTACCTGAGGTTGTAGTGGGAAGTCATGACTAGTAGGGTTTAGCAGGTTGGGTGTGAGGACAAATACTCGTCGAAGACATTGACTAGTGATCATGCTATATCGTGAACTGGCATAAGTTGGAATTCATGGACTGGTCATTGAATCAGGTCCCAGTATTTTAATTGAATTGATAAAATTGTTCAGTAGTTTAGAAAATACAATGCCGGAAGATAACTCTGTTAAAAACATCAATAAATTTACAGATATGAAATAGCAGTTGAGTCAATATGGACTGATCATAAATATCTGTGGTGACAGAACAACTATACGCAACGGAATGAGTGATTGATGAAGTTATTGTTCTTTATTAGAATATGCTAATGTTCCCTTGGATTTCGTTCGCTACAGAGACAGTAAAGATTTTCTCACATTTACTTCTGGCCGCCCGCTTGAATCACTGAGCTACTTAAATCCCCATCCAACATAATCCACCAAATTGTCTCCACTTTTTATAATTTTAACGAATCAATTATATTTTCAAGAGTGGATTTATAAGGATTAAGTGTGTTTTTAGAGTTTGACCATGTGTTGATATCAATTAGAGGACCTTTGAAAACCAGTAAGGAGTACCGGACAGCTGTTTCATCTTAGTTTGGGAATCATCGGCAATACGCACCCACTAGGGCTTGAACCAAGGATCTTCCGCCGATGACATTGGTCAGTAGTCGCACTAAATCACGATTTGGTAGAAGTTAGAATTTATGCACCATTGAATAGGGTTCCAGTGGCTGAATGGTATACAGACTTGCCTTGTAACCGGAAGGTCCTGGGTTCCAAACGTGGCAGTGGGTGCGTATTACCGATGATTCCCAAATTAGGATGAAACAGCTTTCCAGTACTCCCTGGTTTTCAACTGATATCAGTCCGTGGTCACATAATGTACTCACTTATATTTATAATTGACTTTGAACCTACTACTGTGCATTTCCTTGAGAAAGGGAAAATAAATGTAAGAGATTAGTTTGTGATTCAGGTCAAACAGTATTGTGTCAAGTGACATACTATCGATTACCAGTTTACTGAAAGATCCTTGATGAAAGGGATTTTTTATGCAATAAATTGTCCTGAGAATTGTGTATACTGTGTAAACATTTTATCCAGAATAAAGCGATTGTTATTTTTATGTTTTGTTAAATACTCAGTCACACTTTAAAAGTTCTTTTGGAATTGCTTTTACTTATTACTTACTAAGATGAGATGGAAAATCAACAACTGTGCTTCCTGACTTTAACAGACTTCAGATATTCTCTTACTTTCTTAAAATGTCGCTGATGGACACCCATGATTTTTAAATATTTTGGTGTTTTTTATTTCAATGAACGAATGTTCAACGAAAGTCCAGCTTACATACGACTCTCGTATTAAGAAAGTGAGTCCTTTTTAACGTTAACTGAACTACTGACAACTAAAAATGAGGAGTCGTGACCAGAGGGATGCAGCAGGTCGGGCGTGAGGACAAATACTCACCAGCGATGACATTGGCTAATGATCGCATAATATTGTGAATTAGCAGAAGTTGGAATTCACAGACTGGGTTCCAGTGGCTTGATGATCTACGAGCTTGCTTGCTTGTAACCAGAATATCCTGGGTTCGAACCCTGGTGGTGGATGCACACTGTTGAAGAGTCTCAAACTAGGCTGACGAAACAGCTTTTTTGCAGTACTCCCAGTTGGTTTTCCAACAGTTTTCTAATCGATATCAGTTCATGATGAAATCCTGTAACTAATCATTCAAATCCCTACAAACCAATACTTAAAAGAAAATATGCGTAAAACTTGGACAATGTAGTAATATCTAATTCCATATTAATTTGTTTATTGCTCATATCAATGGATAAAATTATATATATATATGAGGAAAACTGAAAGAATTTTTATTGATTAAACTGTGACGACTCTACATGACCTTGTCGCATTCAATTAACTTTAAAAAATTTTGATTTTCCATTGAATAACCTTTCTCTTTAGTTTATTTTTACGGATGAATCAACTTTCCAGTTTTTGTCTAAGAAACGCCAAGGCTAGTGTTTTCACTACATCCCTCTATCCATGTCATGTGCTCTACTTTAATTGTAACCAGAAAATAAACTTCACGTAAAAATGAAGGTGAAATAACCAACACCAAAAAAAAGCCATAAAGAATGACATAATGATGAGAGTTTTGTTTCCAATTTCTCCCAAAGGAAGCTGAAATAACTACTTGACATCGAAATACCACCTGTCCAGTTATTTACTCTAAAAATTCATATCTAGATGAGCAAATACATATACGTATAATTTGAATGATTACTCATTCAACTTCGTTGTTTATATCGATTTGAACTTCATAAAGTCATAAAGCCCGGTAATGACTTATCATGACAATGAAGTTACTTCCCATTCCATCATATCTGACGATATATAGAAAGTTTATGAATTTTTGTTGAATTATTTTTTGCTATTCTTCTTT